TCGTGAGGAAACCTGCATGTCAGAGAAATAAGAAAAAAAATATATTTCGAAGACATGTGAAGTTCGCCAACACGCATTGGGGCAGATCGACGGACAATTACTTGCCTTAAAACCTTCTCAGAAATGAGCGGAGGCCTGTGCCCAGCAGTGGGACGTGTATATAGGCTGTAACTTTACGTTAATTTTACATAAGAATCTAAGAAGGGCAGTCAATGATAAATAAAATTTGTTTTGTAAGTCGTTTTTTTAAAAAAAAAACACTAACACAACAAAAACATGAAACTGAGAAGAAGCACCCGATCTGCCGAAACAAACTCAGAGAGGTCATTCCAGGTATTACATTGGTCATGTCATACGAGTACCAGGCAGGTGGCTAATGGTCCTTTGAAGAAAGAACCATACAGATGTGAGTGGACAACTAAGCACTTTTTAGAATTCCGTACCCGAAGGGTAACCAGCAGGGACCTATTACGAAGCCACCGCTGTCCGTGTGTCTGTCTGTCAGCGGGCTGTATCTCATGATCCGTAATAGGTAGATGGTTGTAATTTTCACAGAACGTGTATTTCTGTTGCCGCTATAACAGCAAATAGTAAAAATAAATTTGAAATTAAAGGGTTTCCTACTAGAAAAAGAAACGTGTATTTTTGGCTTTTTTTGATCGATAGTAATATGTAGTATATTTAAATCTTGTAAGATGGTACGGAAGCTCGGAAGTCGGATTCGCACTTGGCAAATATTTGTTTATATTTAACCTTACCTTAGACATACTCATATTTTTATATATCATTTACAATACTACTATATAAGCTACTACTAAATAAAATAGTAGTAGCTTTGCTACGGTATTATAGTATGTATTTTGGTTTAGATTTAATTTACCTATTACAGAATAATACGAACTATTTAAAAATTAAGGAGCGCATCAACCTACCTCAGACATTGGGTTATGAATACAGATAAGTACACATAGGATTTAGTTTCTAATTTGTACATATTTTGTAGCCTTCGTTATCAATAGCATAAACAGGCCAAGCCCCCTAGCCTACAAACGTTTCGTGACGAATCTCTTTCTTCAATCGCGCCTTTTATTTGTTTGGACTGACCACCTGACTAGTTCAGTGATGTCATTCCCATACAGTGTTTAGTTTTCAACTAGCGTTATCTACTTTCATAAAATAATTCAAAATTTTATTTATATTTCGCTAATTGTGTGAATTTGATTTACAATCGATCTCTAAATTGTAGTTTTCTTCTAATTACTTACCTTGTCTAGACGTGTTCTTTGGACTTCTGTAAGGAAGTCCGTGCTGTTAGTCCTATTCCGTTTAGGTACGTTACTATTTTGATAGACGTTTGTGCTTGTCCCTGCAGTGACACAATTCCTATTGGATAACTTTCTAAGTACTAAGAGAATATTGCAAACCGCTATTGAACACTAACAATCAATAAACAATTTACAAACTAACATTTTTATTTATTTAATTAACCTACATAAAAGCCCCACTCGCATCAGTCGCGCTGTCGAAAAAGCAGTTATCCTGACACTGGCTGGCATATACTTCGGGGAGTTGCCTGTGGGCTATTATAGCTAACTAGTTATGGTAAGCAAATACCTATTTATAATACATAGTACCTACAGTAATGTTTGCATAACCTACAATAAAATACAAAAACATAAAAAAACATAATTATTTCGGTTATATTTTTTTCAATTTTTTTTAATGTTTCTATTTTTAGTTGAGAGTTGTGTCCCTTAAGTAGGTACAGGCGCGATATTATACTGTGTGGTTGCGTAAAGAATGCATAGATACGCGATAGCAGCAATCGCGGTTGATTTTCTGTCATTTATTGAAGAGTTCCCTCGATTTCTCCAAGATCCCATCATCATATCTTGATCTGACCATCATCATTACCATGGGATCATCTGGAAAGTATATTCTTTCAAACCAAAAAAATAATTTTCCAAATCGGTTCAGGCATCTTCGAGAAATCGGGCAACAGAACATACATAACCAATAACAACGAATTGAGAACCGCCTCCTTTTTTAGAAGTCGGTTAAAAAGTAGGTAAAAACAAATCAATGAAATTATTATATAATAACAACATCTACTTAAATTCACATAAGCACTTTCATAATAACAACTAAATTGGGTTCATAATAATTAACACCAATTTGTTTCCTCTCTCTTTTCTCTTTTTAAAATACGTTACCCCCATAGTAGGATTTTCTCCTGTATCGTGAAGGCAGTTTACAAACATAAATTGCACAAGGACAAACATAAAGACCCGGAACAACTATTTGTAGGCCATACAAATATTTGTTCCGTGCGGGATTCGAACCCGCGGCCCCCAGCGCAGCTACTCATTGCTAAGTCACTGCGCCAAGAAGCTCACAATTGCCGTTTGAGTTTAGGTTATTATTCTAAAATCAATCGCATAGGTAGGTACGCGATGACGTCGTCGCGCATTGCGTCACTCGAGTGCGTACGTGTGTGCGCACTAGCTTCTTACTGCTCTTCACAGCGTCTATCCCTTTCGCAAGTGATGTCGGCTGAGTAGCATGCATTTTAACCCGCCCACCATTTAGTTCGGGCTATCGACTAGGGCCACCTTAATACTGCTCGTATTAATGAAGCGATCGAGCAGAACCAGGGTTCCAAAGTCTTTGCCAGAGATCTGTCTGCCAGAAAGAGCCAACTGTCAAAGCTGAAGACTGAGTGTGGTAGCATCGTTTCCGACACCTGAGATTTTGAGTGAGATTGAGAGGCTCTATGGGCAGCTGTACACATCATCGTTGGAGCCATACGCAAGTGTGAGTAACGATCCAAGAGCAAGTCTTATCCGACACTATTTTGATGATATGTTTTGTGTATTTACATACTTGAGGAACCGATAAACTTTATTTGAGAAACTCATAAACTTTTACATAGCCCAACGAATTGGTAAGCTGAAGTGGCAATGGGCCGGCCATATACCTCGAAGAACCGATAACTGATGGGGAAGAAAAGTTCTCGAGTGGCAGCCTCGCACGGGTAGGCGTAGTGTAGGGCGACCCCCACTAGATGGAGTTACGACCTGGACCGTGTTTTGTGGCATTACTTGGGGGAGGCCTATGTTCAGCAGTGGACTTGTGAAGGGCTGTAATGATGATGATGATGAGGGTCGCCACCCGTACTATATATATAGTATCATCATACTTTATTTCAGTCAATTGTACTATACTTATATTATCGAAAAATAATATAGTACGAAAAATACTATAATATTTTATCCCTAATTCAACTGTCACGTTAATTTATATTAACTGTGATTGGAAGTCTGGAACAAGTAAGTTTTACGGAAATAATTTTTTCCATCATGAGTGTAAAATTGAAAGAAGGAAATAAGCATGCATTAGTTTAATTAAAATTAACTGTCAATTTGTTTTAATATGAATCTAAATTACTCAGACCCCCAAAATTATTTTAAATAATGCGTAGGTACACATTTTTTTTTTTTTGTGTGGTCAATAGGTAATCTGTGATGTAATTGCACTAAACATGGCTTTTAAAACGCTGATCATTCATTTGGAGTCAAGTACTCTGTGGATGTAACTTTGTCTTCATACTTTCATCCTGGCTTAGGACAGGAAAAAATTGAGGAATTAAGGAAAAATTGAGATTTTACTATAAAAATAATGTTATTTTTCATTGAATTTACGTTCTATAAGTGAAACCAAACCACTGGTTTGAAGGATAACGGTGTTTACACTAACCCATGTGAATACAGCACTACGTCTATCTTAAAGTAGTTTTTTTAAGTTAAACTGTCATTAGTACTAAGAAAAACTACACCGTGCTTGTCAGTATGAGGCTGTGCCTTTCGTCTTAAATGTTGGTTCTAATAGTTAAATGCTTGCATATTGTAGTTGTCTACTCTTGATAAATGATATGGTGATAATGATGAACATAATAGCTGCATATTAAGATAGAACGCGAGTAACCCGTGTTCGACCCCGCCGGCACCAATGAAATTGTTAATTGCAATTTTAAGTGCTGATTTACCACGTGCTCAGCGGTGAAAGAAAACGACGTGAGGAAACCTGCATATAAGGAAAAAAATATTTCGATGACGTGTGAAGTTCGCTAACACGCATTGGGGCAGCGCGGCGGACAATTCCTTGCCCTAAAACCCTCTCAGGAATGAGGGGAGGCCTGTGCCCAGCAGTGGGACGTATATAGGCTGTAACTTTACTTTATTTTAAGAAGATATCCGGGCAGCAAGAAATTTTAGAATAGATTTTTAACTATCTACTGCGGTAGTGCTGACAGACACCTAAGGAGACAACTGCGGCTTTTAATTGATGAAACCTTCCCCTGTTCCCCCTATTCCACGGTCCTTCATTCAAAACTGCACCAATTTTAATATTTTTTTCAAAAACAATATAAGAACTTTGATTTCATTTAATAATTGTTTTGTTCAGGCTTTGTTCTTGTTAAAAAAATGTTAATGACAATTATTTATTGTAGTTATATTTTAACTAAAAATAGAATTTTAATTTATCTATGCTGTTTTCTTTTGGCGTTTTTATGGAAATTTTATTTGATCTTGCTTTGTGAAAGTAGAAATAAGATTGTGACTATGTTTCTAAGTTTTATTTTTTTATATTTATTTGCTGGGTGTCTTTTTGTAAAGACATAACTGGGCGGTTTTAGTGATTTTCGAAGGTAGTATTGAAATTAACAAATTAATAAAAAACATTATCGTTTACAGCCTAAAGTCCATTACTGAACGCAGATCTTGTAGGGAAGCATTTTGCAATAGTTGCCACACTGTCAAGTGAGTTGGCAATCATGGTTAATCTTTTCAGTTGTCATCAGGAAGCTACTGTTGCTCATTTCCTGTTTGTTTCGCTCTGTCGCCTCTAATGACACCGATGGGACAATATGAGGGTATGAATATTCTTACACTACCACTACATATTACATTAATTGTCTTCTTTGCTTGATTTGATTCCAGGTGTCGATGAGGTGCGGTATCATAATCATCTTGTGTACTGCCAGCTTGTTTGTAAATATATTACCATACAAATCACCAATGCAAATAATAACGACTATTTATATCTTAATATATATTTATTAATAACTAAACTAATATACAATTTAATTATCTAAAAGCTACAATAATTCTATTTACAACAGGAAAAGTTTTTGATATAAAATTGAAACATCGTTTAAATTTACTGGATTTTTGTATAACTAATGCAGTTTACCACACAGGCATTTATAAAATTTCCAGTCAATCCCTAAAACCGCTTGGATCCATTCAATTACAGGTCTATGGCCATCACCTCCTTGTTTTCGAAAATAATTTTGTCCCATCATTAACTGCCAGCTAATGCGGTATCTTGAGGATTGTTTTATCACTGTCCATTTTACTACGAGTTTTCTTCCTTGCACAACCTCTTTGTGGAATCGTTTACCACCTCCAAGTAAAGGCTTACTCCTTTCTAAAAGGCCGGCAACGCATCTGCAATTCCCCTGGTATTGCAGTTGTTCATGGGCGACGGTAGTCACTATCAGGTGAGCCGCATGCTCATTTGCCCCCTATACTACAAAAAAAGTAAAACTGTTGATGGATAAGTGTCTTTTTTCGGATAAATTGATTTATATATATTGTTTATCGATTAATGATTATAAACTATTCTTCCTTTGGCTTCACATCAAGTGTTTGTTTTTCAAACATAATTCTCAATTGTTCTGTAGCAGACATAGGCAACCTGTTGTTTGCGCCAAACTCTTCGTCAGGCAATTCAGCAACATTAAGTTTTGGATCTTTAAATGTGAAAGGTGTCCATGGACCTTGAACTGACGGATAGTCAGTGTACTGATATTTGCGTAGGCGGGTAGATGCTATATCTCCTTGTTGCGTGCGTAAAACTTCAATCCACTTGGTTATTTCTGAATGCGTTTTGTTATGCATGTTCATCCATACCCTGTCACCGTTTACTAAAAGATAAAAATAATTTACCTTACATTAATATAGGGTAAATATAATTTATAAGAAACTAGCCTGCCAGGCAGACGTTGTTCTGCCCTTTTCTACGACCCTGTCATGTCCTATTAAGAATCCTTAAATTCGCAAAAAATAAATTGCGGGTTACTCATAGCCAAAAAAACTATCCTATCTCTCAAGTTGGACCAAACTGCACACGATGTGCAAATTTTATTAAAATCGGTTGAGTAGTTTAGGAGTCCATCGCGGACAAACAACGTGACACGTAATTTATATATACCTATTATGATAATCCACAAAACGGAATATTTTCGCATATCTTACTTAAGTAGCAAACATAGAGGTTAGAGAGAAGGAGAATGTCCGTGGAGTTTTTATATGTTTTGTTTTTATTTTAATTTTTTAAATAATTGTAAAGAATAGAAAAGACAGATGTCACAAATAAGTAATCAAAATATTATTCCTGTAATTTTGACAAAACATGCGATGACATGTTGTACATGTGTGACATAACGTATTGCAAAAATGTAAATTGCTTTATTGAGACTTTTTTGTTTTTTAAAGGAACCGTTTCAAACATAGCAATTACGCATGCGCAGTACGCGTACGTACTGCGCATGCGTAAATGTGCTTGAAAGCGTATGTATTGTGACTGTCAAATTATATACAAATATAATTTGGAATAAAATAATATTGCGAATATGAATTGAAATGTAAGCTATCCTATCTCAAGTTGGACCAAACTGCACGCGTTGTGCAAATTTGATCAAAATCGGTTAAGTAGTTTAGGAGTCCATCGCGGACAAACAACGTGATACGTACTTTATATATATAAAGATTACAAACAACTCGTTACAAGTTTAATAATTAATAATATTATTAATAACAATATGGCTTTGTTGTCGTCTTAAGTATGTGTGAGCCTGATTGCCTAAGAGACATGGGGATATTTAGACCCAAAACCAGCATTACAGCAGTTTCTAAATGTTCCAAAAACAATAGCTATTTCAATTCTAGGTGAATTTAGATTATTTTTTATATATAGATTATTTATAAAATATTTTTGTGAAGTTGTCTTAAACCTTTTTAACATTTTTCTATTATTGTATCCTGCCATGATCAAGAGAGGGTGGGGTCAATCAACAAGAAATTTTAGGCAATACAATATAATGTAACCATTCTAGTGAGAAAAACCTAAATACAGACAGAGATAGTGATAAGCTGAAAGCCTAACAACAGTGTGTTCACCAACTCCTTGCATAGTGTGACTATGTCACTCATAAGTTATAAGTCAAATTTTATCAAAGAATATTTAAAACAATGTGTTATTTGGCAGTGGTTCATTATATGTTTTATAAATAAAGTAACATTATCATTAATGCACAATGGATAACATTATCATAACTATCTTAATTTCATAACTGTCTATTTTGCATGCAACGGCAACTTAACAATACCTAGTTATAGAATAGTTATCACTACGACTACAATTTCTGTTTCGTGATATACACTGTTAATATATTTAAACTAAATTAGCATATATTTGCTGAATGAAATGAACTTTTCTTCGTATTTTCTCCAGAACTTGCTGAGCATAGTAACTGAGCATAACATATTTTGAAAGCGTATTTATGAGTGAGGAGAAGTGTGAACTAAATGAAATAGAAATTCCGAAAGAAGATGAAAGAGATAGGGAGATAAGTATAGATGAAATAATGAAAGCAATGAAAAGCATGAAAGTAGGTAAGGCAGCCGGATATGATAGTTTCACTCGAAATGCTAAGGGCTGGAGAGGAAGTGGTGGCAGGCCTGCTGCACACCTTGTTTAATTTATGTTGGGAACTGAAGCGGGTATCGGGAGACTGGTGCAAAGCCGTGATAGTCCCAGTATATAAGGGAAAAGGGTCACAGCAGGATTGTAAAAACTACCGTGGATCAGCCTTCTTAGCATAGTGGGAAAACTGTATGCTAAGGTACTAATTGAAAGAGTTATGAAAGAAACTGATGAAAAAATTTGGGATGTGCAAGCGGGATTTAGAAAGGGAATGGGGCGTACAGATCAAGTCTTTTCCATGCGCATGATCGCGGAGAAGTTTTTGGCGAAAAACCAAAAAAGTTTTTTGTGCGTTCATGGACTTGGAAAAGGCTTATGACAGAGTGGACAGGGATGTGTTATGGCAAACGCTGAACGCATTTAGGTTGAGCGCTGGTTTGATACAGTCTCTGTATAGGGACTCGAGTGCTTGTGTTAAAATCAACGGTCTACTCGGACTGGTTTGGCATCCATAAAGGTGTCAGACAGGGCTGTGTAGCTTCCCCGTGGCTGTTCAACCAATTTATGGACAGTTGTTTGCAAAATTTGAAAGTTGAAGAATGCGGGTTAAGAATGGGTGAGTTAACCATCAAATACGTTTTGTACGCCGATGATCAAGTCATACTTGCGTTGTCGGCGGCCGAGTTGCAAATGATGGTTACATTAATGAACAGGTCATTAAAAGAAAGGGGAATGAAAGTGAACGCAAGTAAGACGAAAGTGATGGTTTTTGAAAGAGATGAAAGCAAAACGGTATGTGAAATAAGAATAGAAGGAGAGTTAATTGAGCAAGTGGATGAGTTCGTATATTTGGGATGTGTATTCAGCAGGGATGGGAGATATGATAAGGATATTGAACGACGAGTGAATGCAGGAAATAAAGTAAATGAGGCTCTACACTCTATTGTGAAAAGTCACAATGTGTCAAAAAAGGCACGTATGGCAATTCACAGTGCTGTATTAGTCCCTACTTTAACGTATGGTAGTGAAAGTTGGGTGTGGCAGAAGAAGCAAGAGAGTAGAATAAATGCAGTAGAAATGCGATCGCTAAGGAGTATGTTAGGGCTGAATCTGAGTGACAGGGTGAGAAACTGTATGATAAAAGAAGAGTGTGGATTGCAAGATGATGCGGTGACCAGGATTAAGAAAGGAATGCTTCGGTGGTTTGGTCATGTATAAAGAATGAATGCGGAAAGACTGACAAAGCAAATATATGTTGCAGAAGTGAATGGAAGAGTCGGAAAGGGGCGTCCAAGGCGGAAGTTTGTCGAACAAATTGGCGATAAACTAAAAATGGGCCAAATTAAGAGTACCCTTAACCGACGAGCATGTATGCAGTATGTAGGTATATGGATGTGGAAGAGGCGAGAAAGGTATGTCAGGAAGGTGCTAAATGGAAGTCTGTAGCCTCTGCCTACCCCTCTGGGTGACAGGCGTGAGTGTTTATGTTTTTTTTTAACTTGCTGAGCTAATTAGGCGTACTTAAAAGTTCAATTTATATACAGTCAAACGTGGATAAGCGAGAGTTACAGGGAGCACGATCTCATTCTCGCATATAGAGGATTTTTTATAGAAGAGGGGGCAAACGAGCATGCGGCTCACCTGATGTTAAGTGACTACCGCCGCCCATGATCTACCACAACATCAGGGGAATCGCAGGTGTGTTGCCGGTCCTTTAGGAAGGAGTAAGCTCTTTTCTTGAAGGTCCCCAGGTCTATCGGTCCGGAAAAATCGCCGGTGGCAAACTATTCCACAGAGAGGTTGTACGCGGAAGAAAACTCCTTTTGAAACGTACAGTGGTGGACCACCAAGCATCCAGATAGTGTGGATGGTATCGGGACGTTTGCCGCGTAGTGCGTTCACGAAATTTGGCGGCTGGGATTAATCCGAACAATTCCTCAGAATACTCTCCATGGTATATGCGAAAGAAAATGCAAAGAGATGCAACATCTCTTCGCAAAGCCAGTGAATCGAGCCGATCGGAAAGCACTCGGTCCTCGACGATTCGAGCCGCTCTGCGCTGGATGCGGTCAAGTGGAAGGAGCTGGTACTGGGGAGCCCCAGCCCAGAGACGGGAACAGTATTCCATATGCGGCCGAACCTGCGCCTTGTAAAGTTGCAGGCGGTGTGCTGGCATGAAATACTGTTCCGCTCTGCTGAGCACGCCAAGCTTTTTAGAGGCTAATTTGGCCTTCTCTTCC